AAAACATTAATAAAATGACTCTTTGGAATCAAATGAATAAAAATGATTACCAAAATATTAATGAAGAAATATATTTTTATATATAAATCTGCATTGTTTCAAGTCAATTATGAATCGTTCAAAAATCAAGAACAAAGTATACGATTTGTACATGGTTTAATTGTGCTTCCCTAACCTAAAATGTCTCGTCCTGCTCGCAACCTACATGAGTTGCCACATGCAAACACGTAGTTAAGCCAAATATATTGCAAATTTATGTGGAACAATGTAAAGAAATGTGTCGATAAACACAATCCGGACAACGAGGGCTATGCTGACGATAGCTTTTAAGGTAATCCAAACATCCTCGCACTCAAAAAAAAAAAAAAAAATTGAGACAATATTGCGGCTACCCTTTCAAGTATATTGTAATATCATTCAAACACGAATTTTGGGCATGATAAAGTGAAGAAGAATAAAATATCATATGTGAAGAGTAACTTATTATAGACCACCTTAAGATAGAGCAGGTAGACATTAAACTATTGTACCAAATTGGAATAAGGACCGAATATTTTGGGAGCATCGTCACATCTCCTAAAATAAAAGATGCCTAGAAACAGGATTCCAACCGTGCAGCCAATTACGCAGTCAAACTCAAACTCAAAAGAAAGAAAGAAAGGAAAAAAAAAAAAAAACACTTCACAGAAACTCAGCCAATCAAAAATCGACAACATTTTTGATGAAACCACTCTGGTTTTGCAATACCACATCTGAAACTGTTTCACATCCCAATACGAATATAGAATTTTTCACTTGTGCATACGTTCTTACATCTTTAAATTTACCTCAAATGTTGTCTGTGTGTATATATATATATATATATAGAAATACTCAAACATCATCGTACATAATCTATATACATATATAAGAAAACTAGAGAGAGAGAGAGAGATTTTTGTTGGGTTTTTTTAGAGAGAAATAGAATGGGTAGAGGAAGAGTGCAATTGAAGAGAATTGAGAACAAGATTAATCGACAAGTGACATTTTCGAAAAGAAGAACTGGGTTACTGAAGAAAGCTCATGAGATTTCAGTTCTTTGTGATGCAGAGGTTGCTTTGATTGTTTTTTCACCGCAAGGGAAACTGTTTCAGTATGCTACAGATTCATGGTACGTTTTGATCTCTCTTATGTTGTAGTTAATTTCTCATATTTGTTTTATCGGTTTTGTTCTAGCTAGGTTTTATTTGTGTTTTTCATGAAAAGTCTTGGGGTTTTTTTTTGTCCAATTTGATTTTACTTTATTGTTTTTGTATGTTTGCATGCAAAATTGAAAACCCAAAATTATTTTGTATTTTCATACGTTGAAGCTGTGTACGTACAGAGACAGATATAGATACAAATAGACAGAAGATTGAAAATGAAAAAAAGTGATAATCTGCAGTCTGTTGCTTAAACAGTGTGTATAATGCAACTCTCCTCCTCAGAAATGAACATTTTCTGTGTTATTATATACCTAGTCGAATAGTAATGGACTTGATCTGGGCTTTCAAAATAATTTTTTCGAGTCCCCTCTAGAGAGATGTTACAATATACGATCACGAAGAGCATCGTTAGGTCACTTGAAGTGTAATTCGTTAGCTTTTACATAGTACTTTTGGGTGTAAATTTTCTTTTATTACACTTTTGATTGGAGGTTAGACCTCTTATAAGTCCTGTACTATGTATTATTGTTAATAAATACGCCAACCGTAGTCATAATTAAGAAAAACAAAATCTACATAGGGTTTTCTTGATGAATGATGCTACACAAAAAGACTCATTCTTAGTCAATGTTTTTCAAGTAGTACTCGAGAGTACTATAAATCTATGATAAACCTGATTTGAACTTCTTTTCATAATAAGCATGTTCTTGAACATTACTAAGCTGTCGATTACATAAAGGTTGGAGAGTTTATGGCAATGTTATTAAAACCAGCCTGGCTGGTTGGCTCGATAAATCGGTGCCTCGGGCTCTATTTTGTGCTAGGCAAGTTCATAATGTGTAAATGCAAATGGCCCAGTCAAAGATCGGATTTGACCGGGTCACTTAGCCAGTTTTATATAATTATCGGGCCGATTCGGCCCTGTTTATTTTTTAACTAAATTTCAAAAAAAATCTCCATTGAAATTTTAGGGGATTAAAAATTTGAACACTTGACCCCTAACTAACCAAAACATAATCTTATCACCAAAGCAAGCAACATTTTGTTGACCTTTTGTGTAATAAACTGTATCTAACCTATGAACAATTTGCTGTCTTCTGAAAATGTTTTTAATAAAAGTAGTCCAATATTTTCATTCAGTTTGTAATATCAAATAATTATTTTATATACTTATTTTGTTTGAAATTTTTATTTTAATTAAAATACATTGAATAGATAATACACGTAAATTATTGCTCAATAACTAAAAAGTGATTTGTACATCACAAAAAGGGAAAATATAATATACAAAATTATAAAATCAAAATGTAA